AAGAAATCTCTCACAATTATGCAGCCATAGCAGGCAGGAGGGAAGCAGGCGAATACCTCCAGCGCCAGAGACTTGTAGAGGAAGAGTCAAACTTTGGGGACTCACCTGTGCATCAGAGGGCCAAGGCAGCAGGAGGCAAGAAGCCTGGGCAAGCTGGGCTCCTCCATGCCTGGCAGAAGATGAAGTGCAGAGGCGAGAGGTGGGCAAGCAGAAGAGGCACTCAGCCAGCCGCACAAGCTGCATGCAGTGAAACTCCCACCGCCCCAAGCTTCAGGGCTGCCTCGTTAAAGGAGTGCGGAGGCCAGACTCACAAATGAGAGAAAGCAAGCTCAGGGTTGGTGGGTCGCATTTTGGGCTGTGGAAGAGGAACCGGCTCCATTCCTGGAGTTCTCTCGAGTTCCTGCGCTTTTGGTTTTGCTTTTTGCCAATCCGCCTCCCAAGACTGCTCCAGGTGCTCCGGCCTGAGGGCTGCTGGGGGCGGGGCTCAAGTGCTCATTACTTGTGGAGCTGAGGCTCAATGTCTCCAGCTGCTCCGCCACCTTCCCTTCCCTTGGTTTGCTTGGGGAGCCCGAGCAAGCCGGCTGCTGGAGGGAAGGAGAGGCAGTTTAAACCACCTTCCCTTCCCTTGGCTTGCTCAGGATCCCCGTGGCTGCAGAGAGCCTGAGCAAGCCAGCTGCTGGAGGGATGTGCATTCGGTTAGTCTGAACCGAATGCACCCCCAAAAATGGCCCATTCGGGCCCCTTTCAGGCTGCTGCGGGCCAAATCTGAATCGGCCTGCCCGCAGTTCTGCCCCATTATATCCTATGGGCCATTGAAGTCAATGGCGACAACATAGGGTATATTCTGGGGGCTGGAGGAGAAGGGGTTTGAGGGAGAGGCTCCAAAATCACAGGGTAACTGCTGGAGCCTCTCCCCAAGATACCCGCCATGTTTCAGGAACATTGAGCCAGGGGAACCAATTCTACGGGCCCCCAAACACGTTGCCCCCATCCCCTTCATTGTTCTCTATGGTGGGGAAAAAGTTACTTTTTAAGGAGCCCCTAAGGAGAGCTGGGGGAGCCAGAGTGACCTCTCGCTGAGAGGTGGAATTTGCCCCTACGTGTCCAAGGCCACCACCCTTGGGCTCAGGGAGGTGGGGAACATTTCGCCCCCCCACCGTGTCCCAACTGATGGCTGGTGGGAGCAGGGGGCGAGGCTTATGTGCCCTTCCCCGGGTTCCTGACTGGTGGAGCGGTGCTCTGGTGTGCTCCAGCAGGAACCGAGGCCTTCCTTTACGCATAACATTTCTGTTGGTTTTCTTTGTCCTGCCCACTCTGTGCACCTCCAGCCCACTTTTCAATGATTGGACTGTTGTCCCCATCAACCCACTCCCTCCCCCACTGAAGATTTCATTTTTTAAATTTTGTTAAAAAGTCACTAAAATACCAATATATTGATATACTGCTGTAATGATAGGTCAAGCTGAATTCCCAGCTTTCTCTTTTTAAAAAGTAAGTCTCTATCTCTTTTAATTGTGGAGATATAAGGGGAAAGGCATATCTCTGGAAAGGAGGGAGATAAAGACTTACTTTAACAAAAATTTGGGAAGTCAGAGAACCCATTTGACCCATCTGTATAGCAGTATGTTGATATATTAGTGCCTTTTCAGAAATGCAGCCATGATATCCATCTATCAACATAAGCATGTACACAAAATAAAAAGGTGTGTGTGCTTTGACGCCACTGATGACGACAGCACCCTCCCTTGAAAAATCCTCATTATTTAAGGCACACGAGAAAGAAAATTGACTCTACAACTGTAAAAATGCAGAGGAAAGCAGACATGTTTGTCTGTAGTGGTTTGGTGTAGTGGTTAAGTCTGCGGACTCTAATCTGGGAGAACCAGATTTGATTCCCCACTCCTCCACTTGCACCTGCTGATGTGACCTTGGGTCAGTCACAAGCTCTGGCACAGCTGTCCTTGAAAAAGAGCAGTTAGTGTCAGAGTTCTCTCAGCCCCACCCACCTCACAGGATGTCTGTTGTGGGGAGGAAAAGGGAAAGGAGTTTGTAAGCTGCTCTGAGACTCCAAGTGAAGGGTGGGGTATAAATCCAATCTCTTCTTCTCTTCTTCTTCTTCTTCTGGAAGCATTGTGCCCAAACCAATCCTGATGCTTGTAAATCGACTGCCAAGAAAATCAGGAGTAAGTCGAGGGTGCAGAAAAGCCCTTAGTCTCCGCACTAGAATCTTGTAGCTGAACTTAAAGAAAATTCTATGGCCATGAGCAGCCACCCCAAACACCCCTCTATGTGAGCCCGGACTTGGTGCATAGATGAAGAAGAAATTTTGTTTCCTTTTGGCAACTGTGAAAGAAACAAGTACGAACAGCTCAAGTGATTTTGTGAACCTTTGTCTGGAAAAAAAAAGTTGACTAGTCATGCCTCTGATGCTGTGGGGACTGGATTTTCCTATACACAACAAAGCTGACACTGCAATATGAAGACCTGAGAGACTTCCATAGGAGGCTGTTACAGCTGTCTATTGTGTTGGTAGTTAGAGGCTGCTTCCTTCCGTGTAACTCTTGTAGCTGCTGCAAATACAGAAGCCTTTGCAGTGATAAGAGAATGTCTACACAAAAGTTCTCCTTGCAGTTTCCCTGCCTCAGTTCTTTTTGGCTGCCATCACCCCCTTGCTCAGCCACCATTCAATGGCTTTTTTCAGATTTTTATAAATCAGTAATAGCTATATCACTCTGGGTAACTAACAAATCTGAACATATGATGCAAACCTGGTTTTAGACTATCCCTGACTCATTTTATTAAGTTCCCTTGGAAGACAGGATGAATCAACACTGCAGCTCTTCTAACATCCAAATTAGACTGGTATTGATTAGGGAAAAACAGAGGTACACAGATACTCACAGTCCCAAATTTGCTACATCATGGGAACCCTTGAGATCCAGAAGTTCTGTTCATAAACTGTTTGGAGTTTCCCTTATGTATCCCACAGCATTTTAACCATGTAATTAACACCATTATCTAGCAATAAATGTGAGGACTAGCTATAAGCAAGGAATGAAGAAAACTATAAACATACATACACAAATAATATGTATGTATGTATATGTGTGTACGTATGTATACACTAGGGTTGCCAAGTCAAAATTTCTCCTTACGGTGGGACTCCTGGGTTGCGGCTGGAGCGCGTGCGCACACTGTGCGCATGTCACCCGGAAGTGACGTGACGACGCCAGGCACGCTGTGGGTGGGGCCACGACCATCCGAGGGAAAACCATAGAGTTTTCCCTTGGATGACTGTGGCCCCGCCCCCAGCGTGCCCGGCCTGGTCGCATCACTTCCGGGTGACACGCACGTCGGGGTGAGGTTCTCCCCGGGGCCCGATCCGCTGGCGGCAGGGAACGGGTCTCTGGGGCGGGGGT